TATTACGATAAGTAGAAATCGCAGGCTCACTGTCTCAGGTAGATTTACTTCTAACCTTGTTTGACTATGAATCCGAAGTCAATTAATAGGTTCCTACTAAGACGATATATAACTAAGCGCTTATAACCTCAATGTTTTCTGTTACAAGTGGACGCAGTAACTTCATTACGGCACGACATAGTCTTTTTATCAATAAGCCTCTCCAAATATCTAATTTTACCTAGCATTTTTAAGATTACGTCATATACTCAGTACCTCACAAATCACGCAAAGGCTAGAAATCAGCTTTATCAAGTAGAATACACAAACGAATAACGAGGAATACATTTATTAATGAATAAACATGTAATACATAGTCAACAAAACGGCAGATATCTTTTTCTTTATATCGCCCAAATCCATGAAATTCCCGAAAGTAGATATTATCTGACAAAGAACAAAAGAATTCTCAAGATGTACACATTGTTACCACTGTAAATGCAATAAATAACTACTTAACATGTTTAAAATGATGAAATAATCAGTTTAATTGTATACAATTATATCAGTCAATATTTTTCAGGAAGAAAAAATGGATATTGCATCTACCTGTAAACATCAAGTATATGCTATAAAATAAGTAAATACTATGCGTATATAATTTCTAAGTATTTCTGTAGATTTACTTTAATGAAATGCATGTATAGGAGCTTTGACAGCATTAGCAAAAGTAAACAACAAAGTAAATCAAATAATCAACAAAACCAACTATCCCACCTCATCATGTCCATGTATAATCCTTTAAACTGCAAAAAAATTCACTAAAAGTCGTTATAATATGTCTATTCAAGTAAATCGACGTTTTCTGAACGGAAAAGTACGTAATTCAACAATTTGTAAATTGGCCGTAAATTACGGCCGGATAAGGACACCATCATTTTCCGTTTATGCTAAAAACGCCTTATTACATCAACTTTTAGCAGCAATATAGGTGTAAAAGTGTGTAAAACAACGAAAAATCACCTATTTTCGAAGTTTTTTCATCAAATAAAGCCGCTAGACATCAGCTGATCAAATGACCTACGGCCGTCTACAGGCTGCCCAGTATCCCGCATATCCCCTTTTGAAGTGCCGCTCCCTGCTTTGTGTCGCTGGTATCTGCGCAGTTTAGCTGATTTGAGTTGGAGCTAGTTTGTGTCGTTCGGTCCGCGCAGATGAAGTTGACATGGTTTTGGTAATTATTTGATTCTTGTTGGGAGAATTTTTATAAGATTTGTTGATCAGTGTTGGATGCATTATTTGTGTAGCAAGACCTTTAATTATGCATTTCATGCAGTGATTGTTTGGTATACCGAGTATACTTCACGTACATTTTTACTACCGGCTTTTGAAAAAGGTTTTTGCAGTTTGGTGGCAGACTGTACTCGGTCCTAAATTTTCCGATCAGTCTTGATGGACCACCTATTTTTGTTGTAGGAATATGGTTGACATCGAATTCGTGCTCTTGTACTTTTTTGTGGTTACTTTTAATTGCTAAAAGTCAATGGAATCCATTGATACAAGCTAAAACCAATGTTCTCATGTGGGTAGAAATTATTTAGTGTTTTAAGGACACTTGTAACGTGCACTATTTTCTCCCGAAAATTTTAACTGGGAAATAAAGTCCTCCTTACCTTCTGAACAACTTGTCTTTATTCAAACCAAGATAATAACCTTCTTCTACATGTTAGTCTAAGTTGTGTTAGTGAAATCGGGGTATTATAACAATTATGTCCCTCCCCCAAATGAGGGCCAACTGATAAACAAACTGATAACAGTGCTACACATTGGGCTCATAGTGTTAGTGCTTTGTGTCCTAAAATGAAAAGCAGACTGTGACTGAAAATAATGCTGAAATTTTGCCATGAATGCCAGTTGCTACTAAACCAATTAAAACTTTAACATTTCAGTAAATAGGCCAAAAATACTGGTATGGCTTCTTGAAAATCCAAAAATTTACTGTCAGATTTTGAAATTACTGCCTTATTTAGTCTACCACATTGTGCAGATATCGGTATCAAGCGACATTTCCTGATACAGCGGCAGCGAATTCAGCACAGTTCAAGCAAATTACGCCGTCGATATTGGGTACGTCAGAAAAGTTCCTTAATGCAAACTTTCACTTAAAAAGCATGTGCGTCGGTGACACAGTGGCTAGGACTCTCGCCAACCATACATATGGTCCGGGGTTCGATCCCCTGCCGACGCACACCCGATATCTATGGTCGGCCTGCAAAATTTGGGCTACCGATATCCATGCTGAAAATTCCATACTTGTACTCAAAATACGGTGTGGCATCAAGCTGTAATCAAAATAGATGATAATAAAATAACTACTGTCAATAAACCACCAAAGCAATTGACACTGACACTTTAAATGGCAGGGATGTACAATAGAACCACTAGGACTCTCAGACTCCTGTAGACCGAACGGACTACTGAAAATCCTGGAAGGAGTCAGTGGTCACAGTAAAAACTGTCAATATGAAGCTGCTTGGTCGCCTGATATATAGCGAGAGTGGCAGATAGACGAATGCACCTATTAATCGTGATCATGGTGCCTGTTTACAATGAGAGCATTCGATTGACTTAAGATTTGTTCACCAAGAAGCGGCAAGACGTTTTAGGCTTCAGACTAGAGATAGATCAACTTTACGGTACCGTTTCGTGGGAAATCCGCATCATAAAGTTATTATGAAGTGAATAAACTAAGACGAACAAGCCCTAACCTTGTTAGAGATAGTGAATCTTGTACATGCACTGACATCCGAATGAGAACATCAAAAGCTGTCCTTAAAATCAGCTTCTCACTGACTAGCAGATGAAAACATATAACACAGTGCTTATGTAAAGGGAGGCTCGAAATGCGGTAATGAGCATCTTTATGACATACAACGATTTCTGACTGGCCCCATGAGTGCAGGAATCGAAAGGTTTCCATACACACACTTGTTAAACCACGACACATGCCTGTATAGTTCGTGTGGAACTAGTAAAGATGAGTGATACTGTGAAGACGCCACACGAAAGGGAAGGTTGCAGGAGCAACGGAGTACTTCGTCAGTAGTATTCATTCAGAATCAGAAGACCGCAAGATGCTGTTAGAGATTCTGGAATCATACCGGTTTTATGTGACTGTAAAAAGTACTAGATTCACTGTCACCAAGCCAAAATAGAGGCAAGGATTGATTGAAAAACTCCATGTTTTTGATCATGGGATACGATGTCATCTTGATTACTAGTGACTTTAGCACATCCCTTGGAGTTGTGTAAAAACACTACAATACTGAAAAGATGCATTTTTCCAAAATTTGGAAGAGGACAGCCTTCAGGAGTTGTATGGAAAAATATCTAGTCTAAGTCACTTTACGAGCAGCTCTGAGTTCCTAGATCCAATAATGGGCTGCTGTTAACAGTGTGTCTGTTAGTGAAGAGTTATTGAGGGATAGGTATTCTGACTGAAAATGCTATGACCAGCGAAAATTAATACAGATAGTCAGCATTCGGTATCGGGGGTAGCACTCATCGTTAGTGGACTGACACCAGAGATTGGTGAAGCATATTGTAACACACACTTGTTTTTAGGGAATCTTCAGGATACCACAGTTCGACGAGACAGGAGGTCGCTTCAGCCGAATCTAGCCAGGAAACTGTAATTCGCATTAACCTGTACTGATTCATGGGTTATAGAAAGTCCACTGTTATATATATGTATATAAGACATTTATTGAATCAGTCGGGAAGACCTTTAGTAACTTTCAATAAATGACCGATAAATGTGGCGGCGAAAGACATACGTTTGTCCATTTATGCCATTTCAGAGTGAGACATCTTAGAAAATACCCTCCTGCAGTTAAATCTAAGTATGCCTCTGGAGAAGCTATGCGACTTCGTCTGAAACAACCTCATAAGCTAAACTCATTTACAGTGGACTACGGAACAGATGCATAACGGCCTCAAAAATGGTTCACAACCCAGAAAATTTAAGGGGGTTATCTAGGTTATCTGGGGGAGGGTTTTGCAGGGCATATATAATCTGTCTATTTTTAGAGCTTGTTGAACATAGAATTAACTACCGAATGTTTCAGCTCCCATACGCAGATGTAAGCCACAGGTGAAAAGATGAACATCCTAAAATGGATGGTCGTTGCATTTTTATTAGACGAAACTATTTGACAGCAAAAATATCTGCTAGATACTTTCTCGGCCTTTAAGTTGACTTTGTGCGTTGGTGGCACAGCGGTTAGGATTCTCGCAAACCATGCACATGGTACGGGGTTCGACCCCGGCCGAGGCAATCCTTTACTTCTCTAAGCTAGAAATAAAGCTGATAAAGAGGAAAGGTTGGGCATGAGATTAGCAACATGATCCTGTAAAAATAAACACTGCTATAGAAACTTCAAGCCTCTAGCTTGAAGCCCTATGTTCCACTGGGAACGTGAAGGAATAAAAAATGTTGACTTTCACTTAATACGTATTAATAGATTTTCCTTTTATTCAGTCTTTTCACAGTTTCCTCTTCTTTTCTGCTTTAAATCATCAGAGTTGTCCCTCATGTTCTTATCTGCTCAGTTCCTCAGTTTCACGTCTATCTCATTTTCTGGCGTATTTACGACGAATTTGGAGAATCATGTAGTGAAATGTCATTTAGTATTCTCAGTAGAGGCACCTCTCTACACCTCCAGTCTCCGAGTTCAAGAGGGCTACGGCAGCTAAGGACGATACGAAAGACATAAAGCTACTGTATATAACTGCGAAGTGAGCCCGAAAATATCGATGGGTATATACAAGCTAGCAACAATAATATTGTGTTTCATTCAAGTTGTAGTGTGACTTGATACCACACAAACTTCTTATTTCTTTGAGGTGGAGTATTTAAAACAATTTTACTCCTTTCATTCCTTGACCCTAGGAATTGAACATTTTATGGATAGTCTATGCTTTAAGTGTGGCAATAGTAATTGAACTTTTAGATTGACCGACTTTAACAATTGCGCTACACAGGGTTTTCTCGTTGACTTATATCAGAGAGAGTAGAATAAATGAAAGATAGCGTTTCTAACCCACTTCTTTATTGGTGTATTGAACAGACAAAAAATTATTCGTTCGTTAACATCACAAATTTCACTACATCATGGAAAGATGGATTAGCATTTTGTGCTTTACTCCATAAATATTTTCCTGACCTCATGTAAATTGAGTAATTCTTAATTAGTGTATCTGTTATTTCCAATAGAGACATTTCTACGCTGAAAGCTGAAAACGCCGTCAGAAACCTCGAACTAGTCAGTTTGTCTCTATAATATATAAATTTGCGTAGGCATTTTTTGTTGCGGAAACTAAATTAGATGTACCGGTGCTTTTAAATTCACAGTCTTTGGTATCTGAAGGAAATGTAGATGAAGAGCTGGTTGTAGACTACATCTCAAAACTGTATAAAGCAATAACTTGTAAATGCCAGGGTAATTTTTAATTACGTTTATATCAAAGATTCATAGAACAAATGTGGTCGAATACATCTGTTGATAAACAGCTATCATTATTGGTATGTCACATTTTACCTAACTTCATATAATGTTATATTTTATTAGTATGATGAAGAAGTGGCTCTTCCTTCATGCTGTTTGTGTGGGCAAAGCATTTTTCGTATGGAAGAATTGACTGTTTTCAATAAGAAGTACCATCGAAGTTGCTATCGGGATAACCAACTGAATTACCTTAAAGAGCGAAACCGAACCCTTAAAGTTTCGATTGAATATGAGAACTTGAAGGCTATCGATTCTTCTAGTGCAGAGAAGCTTTCTTCTGACTCTTTACCGACCTCTACAAAGGTGGACTCATCTTTTATTCTCATTCGTCCAGAACAACTGTCTGATTGTGACAGTATTGGGAAAAATCAGCGGACTCAAAGAGCTCCTTCTAGACCACCATTACCAGACATTTTAAATAACTATGCGTACAAACAAAATGGTTTTACAAAAAAGAAGCCTAATAATGAAACTAGCCGGAAACCTTTTGAAACGAATGACCGATTGAATCTTTCCCAAGTCCCCGTATCGTATCCTGATTCATTGAATCCATTTGCGGATGATTCACCTTGTGACTCTAATGATAAATTAAACTGCACTCAAAAGCCCTATAATCCATTCGATGATGACGAACTACCTGCCTTAGATACGAAAATTACTGATAATGTGACTCCCACTTCCTCTAACACAGTGGATTTACATGACTCCCCATTTTCCGCAACAGAGCCTGATAGTAACGTTCATACGCATTTATCCGAAAAAAGTAATCCTATTTACTGTGTTGAGTGTACAGTGTCAGATAAGTCACAAGACTTGCGAAATGCTCACTCGTCAATATGTGATTTGTCCAGCTTACTAGACTATGGCTGTTTGTACAAACCGCAGTCCTCTTATTCAGTGACTGATCATGCTGATGAAATGCATAAGAAAACTACCAGGTCAACCACTACCAAAAGACCAGCCCCACCTATTCCTGTTTTATGCTGGCGTGAAGTCAGAAGTGATCGGCGGAGTGATTTTGTTCCATATTCTGAATTGCACAGAAAACTGTATGAAGTTAACAACGAGCTTTCCAAACTAGAATTACAAGCTCGAAGTATACAGACAAGAATTAAAGAGAGTGAGTGATATTTTTCGTTAGTGGAAATATTTTAAATGATTAAAATATAAATTTTAGTTGTCTACATATTGTCGTTTGTTAGAAGTATCAATGAGGTAAAATAGCTGCAAAATTTTCAGAATCTTTGCGCCGATTCTATTTTGTGCATTTTTGAAGTGTTCTAAGTATAGTTTATTCCATAAGAGGGGTGATGTTTTCATCGCAGTTATTGAATTTAGTTTTTTTTGTAGTTAGGTCTCCACAACTTTTATTTATACGTCAGGCTCGAGTCGTCTTTGCCAAATAATGTTTCACTCTGTGATGTAGCTATCAACTGAAGTAGTTTAGGGTTGCTATTGCACCTTGAGAGCTTATATTACATCAGAAACATTAATGTCATATTATTTAACCTTTTTGATGTGGTTGTGTTTTCTTACGTGAGTGGTTTAACGGCAAAGCTTCTGTTGTCCTTCTAGACAACTTCAGCGCAAACCTTAAGATGAAGTTAACTTATGTGAATTCTTTGTGAATGATATGAATGTATTTTCCGACATCTTTGTTATGATTAATTGGCTAGGAGGACAGTGAAATCTTCGCATTTAAACCGTCTACCTCAGAGAACACAGCCATTTCAAAATCATCTACCTGAGCCACAAATATCTATTATCTTAAAATTATTTAACTTTCCAGTGAGCACTCTCTTTGTTGGGGTGTTCAGAGCTAATTTTATTATCGTTTTCCGTTGCAGGTTGTTATTAGGTGGTTAACGGTTTTACGTATATGTGAAAATACACATTAGGTTTATAATTTTAATGGCAGTCCCCTAAGTAATTGAGTGATTGAATATATGCAGATAAATTTCTTTTGCTGTTAGTTACTATCAACTAGTACGCACAAATATGCGGAATCATTCCTTGAGTTTATTCATTTTTATTCATCTGACTTAATGATATCCATATGTATTTTATGAAAGCTTGATCTTACTATTTTTTAAGTTATGTAAAACCGAGTGTCAAGTGTTAGAAGCTCTTCTAGCTGTTGTGACTTATTGAAAAAAACTACGTCTGGCTTAAACTACATCGTATTAGATGCCATGGAAAGGGTATTTTTTATTTATGTGAACGAAAAGGATAGTGTTGTTTGGCTTCGATAACATCTCTAAAATTCAATATGAGTTGATATGACTGCCACAGTTATGATGTACTTTTGTTGTCATTAATGACTTGTGATTACACGTTTAGCTCAAAATTTATTGGCTACCGATTGTAGTTCTGTTTAGTATTTGTAGACTACTTATAGTCCTTTTTATCGATAACTTTGTAATGTAAGATTTCGGAACATATTTCCTTTTGTATCTAGTTTTAAAAAATTCTGATCATTTTAAGGCATTAACTAATTATAATATTTTCTTTGACATACATTAGTGTCTGAAAAGGATCGAAACGTCAAAGAATTGCTGAATCAATGGTTGCATACGGTGCAAATGAAGGATAATCTTTTTAAAAAGGAATCAGAGTTACTTCAGAGGTAATTTTTAAAATCATTCTCTGTTGTTCTTATTTGTGTATACAAAATAGTGGTTTCATATTGGAGACTGCAATAAAATGTTATCTCGTAGACGATGTTTCAGGCAATAGTTTATAGGTTATAATCATATCAAAGTGGTCATACAATTTCCAACATAGACTCTATAGTTCACTTATTTCTTATTCTTGGGTTTCATCGGTGATAGAACTCTTGTACCTTGCAGAACTGATCTCATTTCATTTTTGTTGCATACAAAAGATGTTAGTGTGATAAATAAAGACTAAGGGTTCAATAACTCCTCATAGATCTGTTCAATCTTATCGTGTAATTGTCATCACTTGCATAACGATAGATAAATTTTTCTCAAATTACCTATGTTAATGTTGTCTTTCAGTATAAATCCAGTTGCATTCACACGATCCAGTAGCCAAATTGAAGCCGGCCTGTTAGTTTAATTTCTGTGCTCAACCCTACTTTTATTACACTGCATTCGATAGATTGACAAGATTCTTAAGGCAATTAGATTTATTTTGGAATAAAAAGGTAGATTTAGATGTCATTTCAATTTCAACTTCGGTATGTGTATGACATATTTACGATGTTTAAATCGGAGCATGTTTAGTTTTGTTTTGAACGCGTAAACTCAGTAACAGATACAATTGCATGTAGCTATCAATAGGAAAACTAACAAAGGAATCAGAAAATCGATTCATCTCAATAGATTTGCACACTTGAGTTTATCTGCCTCCTCTAAGTCATTTAAAACAGGTTTAATATATTGTTTGAGATATCAAGTTAGAAGTTTAACTAGTGTATGAAATGACTCAAATGAAGAAGCTACAGACGTAAAATAGTCTACGTATCTCCATAGCAATCCTAAGGAATTTATTCGGAAATTCCTGTCAATGCGAGAAGAGAAAGACAATGTGAGCAGTTGTAAAGATACAGCTGAAGTTGACTACAAACCTTCCTAGTTTTGCATTGTAAAGAAAGAAAAGGTAACTGTTACAAGTTGTGTAACAATGGGTAATGAACGATGCCTAAAACAAAATCCAGTAAATTATGCCAAGCTTTTGTGTACCTAAACTTCAGTTTCCCTCTCGTACAGTAGTGGTGGTTCACATTCACAACATACATTTATATGCTATTAGGGATATTAAGTTAGTCAGAAAGTTATATTATTTGTTAGTTTAGTTTGCAGATAAATGAATATTATGGAAACGAAATGTATTGAATTCTAAAATGGTTATATACATACAATTTAAATGTATATAATTTTAACCAATGGCGGTGATTTTGGGGTCAATGACAAATGTGATGTAAATTATACCAGTAATAATAAACTAACAATGATGACACTAGTATAAATAGATAACGCAGATGGCGATAAGAATAATGAGGAAAGCATTATAATGTAAACATTTTCATAATTAAATTTTAATTAGGTTAGCTTCTTGTAGAATGAGAAGTTATGCAACACTAAAAATGAAGTCGATGGATAATCAAAGTTCAAATAAAAATGATAAATCTGTGAAAGGAATGAAGAATAAGAAAGAAAGGTGTAAAACGTCTTAATAAGAGAATTATTTATTAAATCTACATCAAACAAGATAGTGACAAAGGTAGAACGAAATTAGTACAGAGTAGGTCTGTCCTCTTAAATTACCGTAGATTTAGCTAGTGTATAATAGATAATTTCTAATTCCTTTCGAAAAGTTCACAGGAAAACGACAAATGATCATAAAAGCGCATTTTCTATCCACTTGATAACCATATAAACATAAAAAAGACAAAAGTGAGCTTATCGATTATGTTTAATGGTTCGCTAGGAACAAATGAAAGTGCTTAGCAATGCGTTTGTTCAGTTATCTAGTTGTTTGCTGTATATGGCTAACTTCACAGGAATAGCTCAACTAGTTGTTTTTATCCAAAGGTATAGATTTTTGGACTGTTGGCCTAAGTCATGAAGGAGATCAGCAGTTATGAACATTTATTTATTTATATATATATGCTTAAATTCATCATGATTGTACATATATATGCACTTCTTGTTATTTTTGAAATATGTAGTATTTTCAACAGCCTCTGTTGAATTCTTCTCTAAATATGAAAAATACTCATCAAGAAATTAAAGAGGAGATAAGAAGTTGAGCAAAGATACATTTTCGCCAATATCATAATCACTATCGAGAATTATTCTCCATACATTCAAATTATTTTCTTTTCAAGTGTTGGTTTGTAGGGATTTTGTTTGATTAGTTGGAGGATTTCATCATGAGCTGACATCAGTTAGAGAACCATTGGAAAACCTGGGAGTACTGGACAGCTGTTTCGTCCTAGTTTGGGACTCTTCTTTTTTATGTTGTCTAAGAAATCTCCTTTTATCAAAATTTCCATATGTATTTATTTATTCCTCTGTCTATGTTTAAATAATGTACTTGAAATCTGCAAATACTACCTATGCATTATATGCATTCAAGTGAAGTTGTTCTTCCATTTCACTCAGTGGTCAGATTTACCTACTGCGTTGTAGTATCTGCGTATTCCAAAGATTCAAACATATACTTTTATAATAAGCAATAATAGTAGTATATGACTTGCACTGTTTAAGTATTATCATTAACCAACTTGAACATGATTGAAATAGACACAATGTTTGATAAATAGTATTTAGTGAACTTAATTAGGCCAAAGATAAAGTCGAGTGTCTATCTTTCGGTTATGCAAGATCCTGTTCATCCGTTCCAAGAATTATGTATTGCTAGACTTCACAAGTTTTAGTAACATTCTTCCTTTCTTTTAATGTGTAAAATTATATTACTTAGTGAAATAATTTCTTTTCTAACATATATAATATATATATATAATTTTATGGTGCACATTTCATATTCGATTACCACTCATCTACTGTTTGTTAATTTGCCCTCTTTTGAAGCAAAACAAAAACAAAGAAGGGATGAATCCTAAAATTGCCTTATTCACCTGTTCACTGTCTTTTGGACATGTATTACATCATGCGTGATAGGTACATACGGTGTTTGTATTAGCTCGGTTGTTGTTGTTGTTGTTGCTATTATTACTGTTGATGTGTTTGTTTCTCTCCTTAGAAATATCAATAACGATAGAAATTTTGACTTATTGTTTATTCCCTGATTTTTGGTATCTTTCTCTCTAGTGCTAAATGTAGCATAGAGAGTTCAGTTACGTTACAGAATGAAAATTCAAGTTTGATAGTTTCAGTGACATGTTGTTTGCTTTTTTCTTCTTTGTTTACTTCGAATTTTAATTACACTAACAGGCTTCGTTGTCAAGAATTAGAAGATCGGCATGCAGAGTTGGAGTATGAGCTACGAATGCTATTGGCTAAACAAGGTGGGCATTTACGACTTCCTCTTTTTTTTAAAAAAACTGATTAAAAATGCACATTAACAGTTTTTTTCAAAAGTATGCTTACTGAACAAAGAATAGTCTTTTCGATAACTTCATCATCAGCTTCTACAGTTATAAATACATTACAGTGAATGAATGAATTAGTGTTATGAACAACAATAATGTTGTTTAAATAACATCGAATCAATAATAATAATAATATCAGTGGATTACAGTTCGATAGCATCAACGTAACAATACACTGAATATCAGAGAAATTATGGAAGATAATAATACAAATTCATGAATTTATAGTCTCGACTGAGGGCCAGGGCAGTGGTAATGGCTGGACCCGTTTTTTCTGCACACAGAGCACTAGTTGTTTCACGCGAATCTCGATAGCCTCTGCTGTTTGGAGTATGCGGTACATGGGTGCTTTTGGCAATTTATTTGGTACGTGGTAGACGATAGAGAAGAATTCTTCAATGCTGCTTTTGTGGCCAGTTTGGACCAGACGGTCTAATATTGAACTGCTGATGGTTTTTACTACACCTTTACTTAGCCATACTTGGAGATGTACTCGAGCACGAAAAATCAAGTTCCTAGAGCAACGGTCGATATAACTCGCTCCAGAAGCGCAGTTGAATCTGTAGATTCAATTAGAAGTGGCTAGTCCAGGTACCGATGATGATTCCTCAATTGAGGAATCATGGTACCTGGACTAGCCACTTCTAATTGAATCTACAGATTCAACTGCACTTCTGGAGCGAGTTATATCGACCGTTGCTCTAGGAACTTGATTTTCCGTGCTCGAGTACATCTCCAAGTATGGCTAAGTAAAGGTGTAGTAAAAACCATCAGCAGTTCAATATTAGACCGTCTGGTCCAAACTGGCCACAAAAGCAGCATTGAAGAATTCTTCTCTATCGTCTACCACGTACCAAATAAATTGCCAAAAGCACCCATGTACCGCATACTCCAAACAGCAGAGGCTATCGAGATTCGCGTGAAACAACTAGTGCTCTGTGTGCAGAAAAAACGGGTCCAGCCATTACCACTGCCCTGGCCCTCAGTCGAGACTATAAATTCATGAATTTGTATTATTATCTTCCATAATTTCTCTGATATTCAGTGTATTGTTACGTTGATGCTATCGAACTGTAATCCACTGATATTATTATTATTATTGATTCGATGTTATTTAAACAACATTATTGTTGTTCATAACACTAATTCATTCATTCACTGTAATGTATTTATAACTGTAGAAGCTGATGATGAAGTTATCGAAAAGACTATTCTTTGTTCAATAACCATTCTTTCTCATTTTTCCTTAATCTTGTAGCGTACGCTTAAACTGAATTTATTTGATTACTGTTAAAATTTGAGTGCCATTGTCTATGTTTTTTTCTTCATTACTTTGCCTTCCCAGTCGACAAATAGGGCTTCATGCTTGAGCTTTAAAATTTCTATGGCTGTGGTTTTGATTTTTCGGGATGGGGTTGTTAGCCTCACGTCCAACCTCCCTCCTTTACTGGATTCGCTACCTGCTAAGTGAGGTTTAAGAGTGAGAGAATCAAACTCAGTCTGTTTTTACTTGGTTGACCGGCATTCCACCCATTGAACTACCGAAGCATCTATTGCGTATGTAGATCTACTTAACTGTGAAATAATAGAGGAAAAAAGATTTGTCACTCAGGATAAGGATGAAAATTATTTGGTATTCTTCAAAGCTTTGACATTTATTCGTAGATGTTTTATCACCCTCCCTAATGACTTTTTAAAGGAGTTAGTGTTTTTTCTGAAGTTGTGATCAAAGATTCGGAGAAGACAAAACAATTTAAATTCACTTTTTATTCATTTCTTAAGTTTCTTAAGAGTTAGATTTAACTAAATTTTAACTAAAATCTAACCCAAAATATAAAATTTGTATATTTTGATTGGATACTAGTTGGTAACGTGTGTAATGCGTCTAGCCCTTTGGTGTAGACAGAATTGTCAGTCAAGTTTTGCAATGTGGTCACCATTCTAGGTGGCTCACCATCACGGTGCACTTTGACTTGTTGATATTAGGTGGTTGGAAGCAATCGACAGGAAGTCTTGGACCTATGTTTCGTGCTTGTTGGTACTCATCCCTCAGCAAGGCGTATCTGCAACCACCGTGAAGAAACTCATATCTCTTCTGAGATTCGAACCGGCGTCATTCAGTGCTGCAGTCAGGGACGTTTCCACTGAGCTACTCGGACTGGCGATTGGCCTTTTTTAGGCTTTGCTGACTGGTGAATGCCAACTATCATGAAACCTACGTTCAAGACCTCCTACCGATTGCCTCCGACCATCTACTAAAATTTGTATTCTGTTCAGTTAAAATTTATTCACCTATGTTTTACTTCTCACTATTATTATTATTAGTATCATCGTCAACGTTAAGTGGCACGGTGAATACAGATGAACTTTTTTAAAAAGTTCCACTTTGCACAAATTTCATCTTTTTATCAGTTTTATCATTCAGCATTACTTTGTAATCATTTATTAAGTGATTACTACTGTGGATTATACTATTTTTAGATAAAGAGTAAATCATCCAAACATACCTCCCTCCCCCTGCCCCTCTGTGAAAATAGTATAAGGCATTTTTAATATTAGATAAATGATATCAAAAATATATATATCATATATATAAAAATGCAGCATGTCAGTTATAGACATAGTTTACGTCCTACTGTGTAGTTAGGCAGTTCTTTTTTTGAAAAGACCTCTGGTTTACTTATTAGGACTGCATAATTCTCAATATTATTTGATTGTATAAAATTATCCATCATTATTATATATCTTTGACGTAATATACTCTGTAAGAATTTAATAGTGAGATCAGTCAGCAATGGTCGATTTCATTCATTCACTTAATTAATCATCATGCGTTTGACAGTTGTTCTCTTGTTATACTGTTGACACGATGAAACGTGTATTTTCGGGAATGTGGTTTAGACAAGTCAGTTAGTGAGTTTGTCATCATGTGTTCTAATTGATAGTCTTTTTTGCGTAGGTATGTGGTGTATGTTAAGTCAATTGGGGTGGTAGACGTCTCAGTGTAGTGAGAGTGATAAAGAGTTATTCTACAACAGAGGTGTAAAGCTTTTTCTTAAAATGTGAATTGTAAAAGAAACGTAGACTGGATGCGTCAGTTTTTGTTCTCGTTTTTTAAAGTTTTCGATTCGGAAGCTCAGTTACTGCGAGGAGTGACCCTCCTTGTATGTGTGTGTGTGTGTGGAAAGAGAGGCTGACGATACTACCCAGTAACCTACTCCTGAATTAGCCTAAGTACGATTCTCACTGCTGAATTCTTTGGTTTAACATTGAGTGCTTAATTGATATAAGTATAAAACTTGGGCACTGTGGTAGAGTGTAACTCCATTATGGATAAGATTTTATTTTCATAAATCACACAGTGTTACACAGTAATATTAACTGATGACGTTTCGAGCACAAATTATTGCTCAAAATTCTATTTCAATTCAAGCAAATCACAACATTCTAACAAATTACTTATTATAACTATAAGAACATTCGTCTTATTTCCCATCTAATTGTATTTGATCAATAACACTCATATTATTATCTCTGAATGTACATTATCTCATATTGATTTTTATTCAAATATCTAGTCAATTCCACACATGTATATAAATGAAGGAAAAAGTTGTGTGAGTAACTTGATATGATTATGAGCAATAATTTGTGCTCGAAACGTCATCAGTTAATATTACTGTGTAACACTGTGTGATTTATCAAAATAAAATCTTATCCATAATGGATTGAGTGCTTAAGCCAGTGAATCATGTCTCCCCACTATTTTAACGAACGCGATTTTTGAGTTTCATTCTCGTGCGTTCCAAGTGGAACATAAGGCTTCAAGCTTCAGTTTTCAAGTTTCAGTAGCGCTGTTGTTCATTTTTTACGGGTTGGAGTTGCTAGCCTAATGCCCACCCTTGCATTTTTACCGGCCTACCTGCCGACTAAGTGAAGTATAGGAGTGCATCGGCCAGAATATGAACCTCGGATCACATGTGGCGTGGTTGGTGAGTATTCTACAGCTGAACCACTGACGAACACTTATGTAAATGTATCCACTGCTTTCTCGTTTTTTTAAGTTCTAAGCAACCCTATATTACTGCTACAAGATTTTACTCACCTTTATATTTTTTTGGTTTTGCATTTCTTAAGCTTCAATGTTAAAAAGAAATATAACAGATACGACTTCTTGCAGTTTTAGCTTTTCTTTTAATATTAAAAATTAGCTAGGTCAGATGAAAGAAAACACATTATTTCACCTCCAAACTTTTATTATCTACAATTATTGGAGGTTGTCTTCTAAAAAAGTAAGAGAAATAGTAAAGTATGCCTGAATGAATACACTGCACACACCTGATCAATAAATTCTGAACAGTAATTAGGTAGGATTAGACAATCAGATTATTTATTACCTGTTTATCAATCAGTAATGGGCACTGCTTGATTTATATGAATAACTGATGTCTCACTATGCCCAACTTTTATCCTACCCATATTTACGTTTCAGGTTGTCAGTTAACATTATGATTCATCATACGATAGAGACTAAGCTTCTTTTCTAAATGTCAGAATGTGCACACAGTTGATGTAAAACATTTATCTGTGCGTACAAAAAGGCTTAATTTTCGAATATTTTTTCTGCTACATAGAAGAGAATGAATTCCAAATATTGATCAATTTGTGAAATAACTACAGTGTCTGATAATTCTTCACCAGTTGATCACAGTTTGGAAGAAGAATATTAATTTAAAAACTCATTAATATTTAGGTCAGTACAAATAAAGCTAACGTGGAAGAGTAAACTTTGAAAATTAAAAAAACTATTTTGAAATTAAAGTTAGTCATATCAAATAAGAATATTTTACAAGTATTGGCTTTTGTAGGGATTTTTGTTAGATTGGTTGGAGGATTTCATCATGAGCTGACATCAG